CGTTTTTTAAAAAGTTTTAAGTACTTTTGCAAAATAACGCCTTTCGTTTCTAAATTAAAACCTTTTTACTATCAACAGGTCTCTCTGGTGTAACAATGAAGCAATTCAATATTATAAAACGTTTTTTCTTCCAGTCTTAATAAAAATTTTCATATGAGCCACGTCATGACAAAACCAACATAATGGGTTTGCGACCAGCATGGATCCAGACGCAGTCTGGTCAGGATCCATGCTGTTCGCGATCAGTTTCTCTACTTGTAATAGGGTTTGTAAGCGAACAGCATGGATCCTGATCAGACTGCGAGGATGCTGGCCGCAAACGCAATAAGCCACGTTTTGTCGTGACGTGGCTTATATTGATTCTATATACCTAAACTCATCAAATAATAATTGAATTCTGAAAGGTTTTTTTCTCAAATATGAAAAAGAAAATAGTTCTAAATAAATATTCAATAAGGCTCAATGAAAAGAAACAATTATTTTCAGCTATTATTAAACCATATACTTAAACCTAGGGTTTGTCATCTTTACAATGTACTTTAAAACTTTATAATACAGTTAAATATACTCTAAGGTATACAATGGGATGTGTTAAGCTCTGAAAGTAAATAACGGAATAACAATAACGGCACAGATCAACCCCCAGTACCAAGTGTATCACAAAAAGCAATGATTCATTTATAAAATACACATTTATCATGGGTGAAATAGTGAGAGTCTAAGCTTAGCAGGATTCTTTATTCAAAACAAGTAGTCTATAGTTCACGCGGGTTGACCATAGACATTAAACTATTCTGTTCTTAAAACACGCTTTTTATCAAAACTTTCTATCATTTATATAATACAAACTTAAGATTAAATAGTTATGAAGAAAGTAATACAAAACAAGTGATGGCACAAGTGCTAGGTTATTGTATTTGTATACCAGTATGTTTACAGTTACGACTCAATTATTTATACCTTGCCATTGTGGCGAACTTTTGTCATCACCTAATTTATTATATCAAAGATAGATGAATGTAAAACTCAAATACATACTTTTATAACATCTATACAATGAAAAAATTAAACTTAAACATTGCAATGGAATTCTAACTATGCTTCTCTGAAAACTTGAAATAAAATGAAAATCTTCCTGTGGGTTAGAAAATGAAACTGATGGTAACTAAAACTATGCTGTGAATTTCTTTTAATTACTCAGGACTGCCCCCTGGGTGCATGAAACAATGCATGGTCTTCCTCCACCGCAAAGCTGGAAAGTTGCTTTATATTGATGTGACTTTATAAAGCAACAAAAAAGGCTTCCTCACTAAGGTGGCATTCTTGTGGGGAATCTGAGCACAGTACTATCGCTAACCACAATATAGCCCAGTAAATGAGTTGGCATCATATACAATGTCACTCAGTGTTCTGATAAAAGCACAGTAGAATAGCAATTAGGACCACATAGTGATGCAGTAGGATATCACACAGTGTCAAAGGCAAAAGCACACAGAGAATGTGGTTATCTGTGGTGAATGCACCACAGTTGTACAGCATTCTCCCAGATGTCACTGCATCTCTTACCACACTTACACTGCTTTGAAGAGTATAGACATAGTCATTGCAGTGAAGAGTGGTATGATTGCCATTAAAGGCCTTTAAAATGCAGTGGATGCACCATACAAATGCAGGCAGTAGCTACAAAAACTCAGAAGGAATGCAATAGAACACTTGTGGAAGCTCCATAGCAATGCTTTGGTTATTGGGACAATGCCAACTTCCAGAAAAATATCAGAATTTTCTTGAAATTTCACTGAGTTCATTTAAATTAGGCAATTCTTTACCAACAGAGTATAAAAGCGGCCTGACAGTTAAGCTTAACTCACACATATTGATTGGTTTGTGATTTGAAAAGAATAAAGGTTTTTAAATTATCACCCTTTTGTCACTTCACAGATGGTTATTATCTATTTTCTAAATAATTTTGTGAAAAACCTCATTCTCTATGATGAATGTTAAATAAACATGCACATGCTCAGGGCCCCTGATTGATTCTTTTCAGCAGTTTACCTTGCTTAACAGGAGTTTAACATGCATTATCTGGCTTTAACATTATATTATGCAGTCATGGTTTTAACATGCCAAAGTGATGATTGTGTTAAATGTTCCTCTAATATAAATTGTTGCAAAGATAATACAGTTATAACTGCATTTAAAGACAGCCATGATGGCCCTGTATCACTCACCAGAGTTTACCTGAAAATTTGCTAAGTTTTCATTATATAATTTAGGGAAACACCAATTTGCATTAAAAAAATGTCTTTAGAAAACATTTCACTTTTCAGGGGAAGTAACCAATAAAACTTCTTTAAACTTTCCTGCAAAGTTCTGCCCCTTACATCCAGTTTTTCACTGTTCAGTGTGATGTATAGCATATTCACTCGAAACAAACAAATTAAAGTCCTCTATATATTATACAATTAATTCATCTTAAACTTAAAATAACTTTTTTTAATTAATCATGATGGAAATTAAATCATTTCATTTATTGATGACTTAAATTTTTTTTTGTAATTTTATTATTTTTCACACATTTTTGTGTGTGTAATATTATTATTTTCACAGAGACACAATTTTTCTATCATTTCATGAGATAAAATATCATACGAGTTAGTAGTAAAATTATAATCTAAAGCAAATAAATGTAACATTTAAAGAAAGAAACATGACATTAATCATTGATACAAGTTAAATAATGTCCGCATGACAAATTGTTTCGAAGAAAGAATGAGAAATTTTATTTGTCCATATACCAAGTAAAATATTTTCATTTGAATTACATCTGTTTAAACAAAATGAAACACAAAATACAGGAGAAGTTGGTTTCCATCAGCAAAAAAAAACAACACACACACAGAGGGAGAAATTTACCACGGATGACATGACTTTATCTTCTTACAAGTTTTTAAAGCAGATGTCATAAATATAAATTAGTTAAAAAAAACTTTGTTCAAAGAAATATGACTTGATGCAGTTGTCTGAATCAGAAAGAAAAACAAAATTTGGTTTATTTACATTTTATATCAAAGAAAAACAAAATAACAGTTTTACTGAGTAGGCTTCATTCAACTTAATTTCTTTCTATGATAGACTTGTTTAATGTTAATGCATGTTCTTTGGGAAAATGTGCATGAGACTCACTTTCAATATGCAATGTACATGTTTACAATATTATCCTTTTATAAACACACGAGGGGAAATCCGATATTTTAAATTAATATTTTTACTGAACATAACATTGCTTGTGGATAAGGAAAACAAGGGAATTAATTTAACCTGCAATAAGAAAATTTAATCACCAGTTACTTCCCTTGAACCATCTTCGTAACATCTAGTTGATATACAAATAAATGATTATTTCTAATTCACCTAGTAATATACAATGTAGTTAATTTATTATTAAAATATCTATCAAGTATTAATTGTCAGTCAATACTACGAAGAGAACACTATCCGGGTGTTGCTAATCTTAAATATTTATAATATACATAATACTATCATAGAGTTTTGAAGCTTTGCTGTTTTTGAAGTCTTAGCAATTATATAAACATGTTCTAGTTTTATATTCTAGGATTATCAGACAGGATTTTTGACAGTTTACACTGGTGCTAGAAAAACCTGTGAAAGAAAAGTCACTAATGCTTTAAATGATGTCATTCATTTGACATTCATTCATTGTGTGCTCAGGATGATATCATTTCGCCACTTTATGATGTTTGAAGTTGTAAATTCAAGAAAAAAGTGCTAAATGAAAATATTTTGGGTTTTTGTCACAATTTCTTTCCAAATATCTTTCATATGCCATAATCACAGAAGTTAATATCTAGCTCTCTGGTAAACTTGGCAGAGCCTTGTTACAGCCATAAACAGTTACCCTCATGTGAGAAATTCTTAAAGTGCATGGTGTATGTAGGAAATCACAGCAAAGAAATATTATTATAAACCAATTTTCAGAACAATTGTCCCTTATCCAAATATCACTGTTAAGCTCTTTTTCTAATACATATCATGAAAAAACAAGATTCTTTACATTCATAAAGAAAGGAGGAATTGTGCTAAAAAATGAAAAGAATTATTTCTGATTGTATATTATATACAAACAATTAGATATCTGGTCTAAAAAATGACAAACAGGTAATTAACTGTTAACATGATACATCATAATTACTTTTAACAGCTGGACTAATGATTTAACATGATCATTAAAAAGAAATTAAATCTTTAAAAAAGAAACTCCTTGATAAAGAGGGGTTTGATCCCTAGATATATCGGAAGTTGATAAACTTTGTGCAATAGATAAATTATTTAAGAAAAAAAATTTAAAAAATCATAATATAATTCTCTTTGTAAATTATTGTTGATTTATATCAGACATATATTAAAATACTAAATTCTGTAATTGAAAATTTCATATATATTTCATTACCTTACGAAAAAAACCCAAAAAAACCCCTATCAAGATTAAGTGTTTGTTACTCTTCATAGAACATTCTGTAATCAAAGTATTGAAATACATATGGGCTGATATTAAGAATTTTAAGTCAGCTTCTGTCTACATGTCTTTAAAAGATTGAGAAGTAAAATTGTTACAGAATATGTTCAAATGATATTCAATGCTTGAATAACTCTATGATCTACACACGGCCAATTGACAGATTGTCATGCACAGGACTACACTGCCTATTTGAAATATTTGTAAAGGCTTAGATATATTAAAGCGGTTATTTTCTTTGTTTTCTGGCAGGTTGCCTTGGTAACGACAACATGACTACATAATCTGGTGATGGCCAGCCCAAAAACCATATATTTTGTTTTGTGATGCTGAAACAATGTTAATTAAACCAAGACAAATCTATATATATTGCAAGTTCAAAAAACAACACTCATGCAAAACTGTGTATATTTTTAGACAAGTGACATTAATAAGGAATCTTGGGTAATATATTGCTATAATTCACCTGCTTCCCGCATCTTTCTCATGTATTCACGTCGTTTCCCCATTAAGTCTTCTATAATACGATAAAATTAAACGGATAGTACAAAAAGCAATTAAACTATTCTTCTTTGATTAATATAACTGGTTATTGATTTCGAGAACCAATTCATTATCTCCCCTGAATATAATGAAAGCATCTAAATTTTATTTTTGAAACGAAAGTATATTATTGTCTTTAATGGAAATTGATCTAATAGTAAACTATTTAAAATAGGCTTTGTAATCGACATAAATCGTTCAAAACTGAGAACCCAGGGGAGATAACTAAGTAACATTAATGAGTCAATATACTTGCAAAAATATATTCAATGATCTACAACAATTTTACAGTAAGATAGAAAAGAAAGAATATTTCTAGACAATATTTAATACAATATATATTAGGCTTTCTAGGCAATATTTCATTTACAGTGGACTTCTAGGCAATATTATTTCTTCTAACGGCAATATTTCCTACAATATTGAACTTTAGGGTTATAATTCCTACAATAGTGGATTTCAGGGCAATATTTCCTATAAAAGTGGATTTCAGGGCAATATTTCCTACAATAGTGAACTTCAGGTCAATATTTCATACAAAAGTGGACTTCACAGCAATATTATATTTCCTTAACTTATGAATGAACTTCAGGGCATTATTTCCTACAATAGTGGATTTCAGGGCAATATTTCATACAATAGTGGACTTCTAGAATAATTATGCATTTTAAAGCAAAGTCTATGACACAGCAGTCCACCATTATAATGATACAAATAACTTCTCATCAATGATTTTATAAAGATAAGCTTAAGGATTAGCAAAATGTATTGTAACAGTTATAAACTTTATAATTCACAGTGGGTTTGGTAGCTTTATTTAGAGCTGATTTTAATCAGATTGGGTTTGGTACAAAAATTTCCTTTGAAATACCAAAGTGTCTAACATTATATACTAACCCAATAACAATATATTTCATGATATATTAAATCAAGACCAATCTTACATATGTTTCACCATGAAGTTCTCGATATTTAAATCATCTCCTGTGTTATGATTTCCTTAAAACTAGACCTCATGTCTTTCTTTAAAGATTCATGCTTTTCTTTAAAGGCTCATGCCTTTCTTTAAAGGCTCATGCTTTTCTTTAAAGGCTCATTCTTTTCTTTAAAGGCTCATGCTTTTCTTTAAAGGCTCATGCCTTTCTTTAAAGGCTCACTTTTCTTTAAAGGTCTTATATTCTGTCTATGTAACAGTGACCTACGTTTCTTTATGTTTTGGCCTGCTGTTAGACATAGTTTTCTTTCTCAAAAATCAAAAAGGTTACCAAATTTCATAATAATCTAATGAAAACTATTTATAATCTATAGCTACTGATTGGTGAGTGATTTGTCTATAAATGATACAAATTTGAAGTTATATGCACAGATTAGCAAAAAAATAAAATTTTAACATAATATAAAAGTGACTTCTAAATCTATATACATTGTGTATTCATAAAAAAACTAAAGACAATGATCTAATTCTAAACACACGCCAAATTATGTATAAAAGTGATGCAGACAGACAGACAGACAGACAAACATATATGGTACAATTTGCTGAAGATATTTTTGATATATATGAAAAAAGGCAATACCAGACAACAAAGAGAATAATTCTACAAGGAATATCTCTAAGGTATCTCTAAACAAATTTAATCATTCTACTGTGAACACTTGCCTGATGTTGTAACTTTGTTATCTTCACACTCACCTTGAATAATTATAAATTAAAGGTAAAAAACAATAATGTGTGATTTTGTGACTTAATTATTAAATTGTTGTTCTTTTTTATTTTTTCAATAACATGCAATGTCACTAGTTTTGGAATGCAAGAACATGTTGATTTCTGTGGAAGTAACTTGCAATATGTTTGTTTATTTTGCCATAATCTAACAATTTATAACCTGTCTTTACAAAGTAATTAAACTAATGACTTCAATATTCAACCTTATAGATTGATTTTCTTTAGACCTGGCGGTCAAGGATAACCTACGAAAGTGCAAGCACTTATTTCCAGTAGGGTCCTTACCTCAACAGACTCTAGAGATAGCTATGAGATACAAGGGAGTTCGGGAACCAGTCCCTAGCTCTTATTGAATAGATCCCTTGTTTCTTTTACATGCCCAATGTGAAGCACTGATAAATGCAAGGATAACCTGGGTTTCTTACCAGTAAACCTCTAGGTAGGTGGTAAAAACTGAAAGTGTCTCTAAAAAAAACCCAAGGGTTTTACCCAGGATCGAACCCGGAACCTCAGGAGGGACAATCAGTGGCCTAACCAACTGAGCTATCGCGCCACCTTAATGTCCTTGTCACTTGTATCACTTGATGAGCAACAGACCATGGAAGAATTATGAAAATTCAAAATTTCCTTATTTCATTCCAGGTTTGTCTATTTGAATTTTAAACAGTTCAAATTTCCAAATGGATACATAGACATGAACATACAACAGAAAGGTAAAGATATATCTAATTATGAACACACAAATTTGCTATGTGTTAGACACCTGACCTGAGAATAAAACTCTCTTGTCTTATCTTAATTGAAATTCACATGTTATAATACAACAATAATGTATTATATTTCTAGTTATTCTACATTGTAAAGATGACTTGTGTTGCTTCATGAGTTTGTGTTGGTTCATAAATTTGTTCTAGTTCATGAATTCTCTTTATCATAAAGACAAATTATGTTGATTCATACATATGACATTTATTATCAGAAAAATACAAACTGTGTTGGTTCATGGAATATGTTGATTCATGAATATTTTTATCAGAATTTTTTTTTACAGTGTTGCTTCATGAAATATGCTGATTAATAAATATGTCTATCACTTAAACAAACTGTGTTGGTTCATGAAATAATGCTGGTTCATAAATATATTTATCAGAAAAAAGACAAATTTTGTTGGTTCATGGAATATGTTGATTTATGAATATTTTTATCACAAAAACAAATTGTGTTGGTTCATGAATGGTGTTGGTTCATTTATCTTTTTTATCATAAAGATACTGATATATACATATGAACCTGATATCTATGCAACTAAGTAGCTTATTCCCTTTATATATATATATCTATCCATTCAATTAACATTTGTTGATAGATATCACAGATTAATTACATTATTTTTCTTTTAGTATGTTTGTACATATTATAATTATGCCTTTTCTTTACTAATTTATATAATTCTAAAACAATCTTGTATTTATATCTACTGTATATATGATCTTTTGTACTATCTGTAATATGTATAATGTAAATGCTCTTCAGTGATGGAGGTAATAAAGATAATAATAATAATGGAATATGTTGATTTATGAATATTTTTATCACAAAAACAAATTGTGTTGGTTCATGAATGGTGTTGGTTCATTTATCTTTTTTATCATAAAGATACTGACAGTTTGAACCCTGGAAATTACATTGATACTGCATGATAATAATAATTATGTTTGTTTTTTTTGTAATCAAAACTTATCATGTGATGCTTTTCAGCTGGATAATAAGTATAGAAGAACATACAGCATCTGTCACTTCACAACAAAGTATACAGTGAGTTCACAGTTAAAATAATTATCCTATCTAGCAACAGACAAACTTATGTTGGAGCTTCACTTTTTGTCATAGTCCATATATTTTTATTATGATAGCATATATGGAAACATTAAACATATGGTTGATTATCAACATGATGAAATACCTTCTATTTTGAATAACTAATCTAATTATTGAGAATAAAACCTGATACTTACTTTTGAAAAAGTAATACAGTGGTTCTAACGATGCTTCTGTTTTCCATAAAAATTTTGGTGCTGGAAATAAAGGTCCCCAATCATTTGGCCAAAAAGGTCCATGTTGATCACGCACAACACCAAATCGGTCCTCATAAGAACCATTTGACTCTTTTTCTAATGAAGTACCATCGGGAAATTTCCCGTTACGAGATGCTGTCAAATATCCTTCTTTTGTGTAATACTGTTTATGAAGCTGACGCAATGAAGGATAATTACCAAACTGTTTTCTATGAATTTCATTCAGATCTTTTACACCTTCCGAGAATGAATTTAATCCAAACACACCTGGAAATTCATCCTGATTTGATTTGGATAACTCATCACGAAAAACAACTTCAATTTGTTGCGAATTTTGTTGCTGTGCATAATTCATACTCATGTACTTCTGCATTTGACGTTTAGCTTGTAGGGCTTTCCAACGTCTTGATTTTAAATATGCACGTTCTTTATCAGATAAATCTAAAAGTACATGGGCATTTAAATTTTCAAGGTCATGACTAGAGTTATTCTTCTTGAGTGCATCATTTGCCTGTTTCCCATTCGCTTTTTCAGGAGGCGGAGTTTCTAAAGCATCCCGTACACGCTGATCTAGTTCCGCCTCCATCTGCTGTCGTATAGAATCCCGCCATCTCTGATCATCTGAGCCTGAAAGATAGATAACCAATATGTTACTTCCGAATAGTCAAGACAGTTACTTCCTTTTGAATTCTAAAACGCAGTGTATAAACGAGTCTGCTTCCTGTTATCACAAGAAAGGTTTAAGTTAAAATGTAGTCTCCAATAAAAAAGGTACAATAATCAGAAGTAGCAGGTAATTTTTAACGACAATACATGGTACACATTGCATTGTATACTAGTAGGTTTGTAAGACATTGTGATTAATTTGTTAATCTACTTTTCACGAGTAATATCTCTTAGCATAGGATAAAATAAATAAAAACTTGTTTTGTTTCAGATTTCAGTAAACAACTACAACTCAAATTATGATTTTCTTAGAAACACATTTAGTGTGCTGAAAGCTTAGAACTTATTTGAACCATTCTCGCGTTGGCTACCTGGAATTAACCAGTACTAGTGTATAATGAAGCATGGCTGTGACCCAAGTAGGGCTCGAACCAAACATCAGGGTTTGGAGTGAGAGGCAGACATCTTAATTACTAGCCCATACCTTCATTCAAATTTGCATTGTCAGCAATGCTACTTAAAAAATATAAAATCTTTTATGCGATATTTATTTAAGATATTTGCAGAGTATTTTGAAATGTATTGCCATATTGACATGTTGCTTAAAGTGAGAAATCCAATATTGCATACTTGGGTACAGATTATAATGTAATGCAATTCTAATTATTGTCCTTTTCAAGTTTTCATAATAACACTATTGTCAAATGGGTGGTTTTGTGATACAATGGTACAGATTTAAGAAAATACATAAATAATATGTCTTATATATAAAATAAATAAAAATATGAAAGAAAGGTAATCCTATAAAATTGAGTTCATACATTAAACAGATTTTGAGAAGGCAAAAAAAATAACATTCAAACATTCAGGTACTTCAATGTTCTGAATAATAAATGTATGAAATTCAATGCAAATTTCTTGTTTGAAAATGAGAAAAATTTATAAATAAATTCTAATAAAAATGTTCAATGTTGTTTTGCAAAATCCAAATACAGTGTATGTGCAAAAGTTATATGTTTCAGCTTAGAAAAGTCGGCAAATGTTGGTTTTTCCAAGTTAATCAGAAGGTACAAAAAAACTTTTACAATCATAGCTTCACAGTGTACTAACATTCAAAATAGATTGATCAATCTGTTTATACTTACAGTAAAAGTTAAATGTTTGTAGCTGGGCATAAGCTGGGAAAACCAAAAATATTCCTAATTCAAAAGTAAGTCTATATACAATAGAGAGGCATGGCCGAGTGGTTTAGGCGTCAGACTACTAATATAATCGCTATCCTTGGGGGTTCAAACCCAATTAAGGGTGAGCTTTTGTTTCCAGTTAAGCAAGAAACTTTACACTCTTTGCCACGTACTGGTTAGTTCCACGATCAGCAGATTCAAGAGTGTACCTGTCTTAATGCCTTATCTAAGCTTCCTTCACAACAGAACTAAAATAAATTCTGTATAAACCAAAAAAGAGGGGCATAAACTTTGAGAAAAATATCTAATCTGGGACATATATATGTAACCAGTTTGTGTTTTTGGTCTTTTTGTTTATTTTAACTTTTTCGCATTTTATTTTAAGTTGTATATTACTTCCCTTTCATTGTAAATTTAAAAAATTATTCAAGCATTGGGTTTCCCACTGTTTTTAAATATAATTGCTGTCATGTGACATTGTAACCACTCTCAGGTCAAATTTCATTGTAAAAAGTTGTTAAATTATACATTTCTTCTTTACATTTAACTCTATTTTAATTATTATTAATCATTCCTAAAAATTAAGTATTTAGTTAAAGCACTACATGTAAGCCAAAAAAACTAATAAGCAAATAAAATTGTTATAAGTTGTTTATATTCATGTATATTTAAAAACCTAATCCACAATTGGGCTTTAAAAATATATACAAAATAAAACCAAATCAAGTGTTGTTATATCAAAACCCAGGTCTACTAAATTATTGCTGGCTGGGGCCAGTTAGGTCCAATTCTTATTATTAGGGCTAAAGCCCACCTGGTCACAGATGGCGCCCAACGGATTGTACAACCCTATATCACTTTGATTTCGTGCACAAAATTTTCTTGATTATGAGGGGGACTCTGCCCCCCTTCAAACCCCCAATATATCGCGTAATGGGTTAAACTGTTCTGCTTAATCATTTTGCTTTATCAATGAATGGACATTTAAAAGAGATGGATTGATTAGGGTGACTGGACAGACAGACGAACGGAGTAAAAACTTCTGCATTCCTATTTGGAAGCAAAGCAAACTTAAATAATAGCAATGATATTTTACACTACTACTGGAATATAATACTGTAAAACACACCATGTAAAATAGCACAATCAAATATTTAAACAAATTTTTATGCTAATAGGAAATACATTCTTTAATATCTTAGCATGTGGTTTATGAATTATGACCCATTAAAATATCATTCTTTAAATAAAATCATATACTACCATTTATACAATGATACATTTTCAGTGTAATCATAGAAATCTTTCATATACAGCTATATTATCTAGTAATCAAAATAATTGACTAATTGAAGATAATTAAAATATTAAATCTGTAGATATTATGATATTACCATTCATTCAATTCTAGGTGTATTAAATATTGAATAAACATGTCTTGTAAAAGAGCGTTAACGCACCTTTTTTTTGTGCATTATCATTTGCAAAAGCGCATTTTAAGGACGTATTTTAAGCCCAAGCTCACAGGGTGAGGGATTAAATAAGTCTAAGGGCTTCTGCAAAGTGATGTCAACACATGAACAAAAATTTAGGGCAATAGTGCTTTTCTTGCATAAAAGTGTATGATTGTCTAATCCAGTAATTCCATGTTTTGTCTTTTAGTGTAAAGAAATCAGTTTTGTTATACGTTTTTTACATGCTAGCACTATGTTGTTTGACATTTATGTTTTGATAATGAAACTACCTGGGATTATCATTGCAGTTGGCAGTTTTAATAATGATGCTCAGAATCACATGCATATTCAATAATGTGCATCAAAAGTACATGCTTGCATGAATTGATCTGTTCTTCTCTGCTAATGTATATATTTTATCTTATAATTTCAGATAATTCATGTAATATATCTTGGATGATTATGATGGTGAAAAGATTTTGCATGCTGTGATGCAATGTATTCTTGGTTTTCACACCAGTATATATCATAAGTTATAGTTATAGTATAGCAACAAGACTCTTATGTGGAAATCTCATGGCCTGGGACGACATCAAGGGGTTTCTCTACAGAAAATGATTGAAGCCGTAATAATAATAATACCTTAAAAGCATATAATTATGTGTAATAATAAGGTAAACACAAACCATAGAAGTTAGCCACACGTCCAGTGTTTCTATTTTCCCTTCTCTGATTCCAAGATTTAAATTCCATGGTAACAGGCATGAACTATTTATCTATTTCCTAAATATATACATGATCTCCTCAACATTGCTCTTAACTTCTTCAGTAGAACATTTTAACACATTGAAACTTTTTAACTTCCATAGCTATAATAAACACACTTTCTTGTGACTATGAGGATATTTATCATTTAGTCATATATTGTCACCATAGTTTATATTTTGTTCCATTTATATTTCACATTTACTGTCTTTTCAAAACTTGACTATACAGTACTATCTTCATGATTTGTTCAAATTTCAAGGTATACTATTATACATTGTAGCTAAAATCTTGTTCATTATTTGCTGTAAAATAGGGTGATGTAATTTCTCATAATTTCTCACTGTGACTGTCATATATTTTGTCTAGACTTTTTCATTTAAGTTATGTAAAATTGCAATTAATATAACACATTCCTTTTATATTTATTTTCAGTTCAAGTAAATTGAACAAATCTTGCCCACAATTAGCCCTGCACAGTTTAATTTTCTTTCCCTATAAAAGTATAACAAAACATTTATACAACTTATTGTGCCCAGTACAATGATATGGTATGGTGTCCATTTAGGGCCATTGTGATTTAAAATTCAATTGTCACAGATAAAGGGAGCTTTTCAAAGATTTAAGTATCAATATCTTAAACATTATTATTATTGAAGTTGTTGACCCTTTTTGTAAATGTATTTCAGTATTTTGCCTTAAATATCCTTCTTCAATTAATCATCTGTTATTACTTATAAATACAAAGTATACTAAAAGAAGGAATATCATCTTAAAAGATAAAACATATCAGTTGGACACCTACATGACTTGTAAAATTTTAACTAGTAACAAACAATTGTACAAGAAATCTATATTATACAAGACACTATGTTAATTTTTCTTACAGAATATCAGGTGCTGAAATCGTGTCTATGAAGTTAAAAAATCTTTGAAAAGTTTTCTAAATTCTTTCAAATTTTTTTCAAAAAGTAAATATAACTTTTTCATTTATTCAAGCCTACAGACTGACATTTAACAGTATATGTTTTTATAGAAGTCTGTTTCAATCTGATCAGAAATAAATAAATCATTTGACCCTTCCCACACTATATATCTTAAGTATCGTAAATGGAATTGTCCATTCTTTCAATCATTTTCCAGTATTTGGGAAAATCACAAAATATGCACATACTGAATAGTGACCAGTGTAGACCATGATCAGACAATACCAGTGGTGCCAGCTGATTTTAGTCTGCACTTGTCACATAGGTACAGCACGTCATAAAGGTTAAGTGACGGACTTACTACCAATCCCAGTCAGCAGTGAAAGGCAAATGATCATTAACTTAAAGTCAAGATACATAAAGGTAGGTAAAATTTTAACATTTAACACAATATTTAGACATTATATTTATCACTTAAAACATTTACAGTTTTACTTAAAAGTCATTTTCGGTAATATTTTCAATTATACAAAAAATCACTTTAAATCCATTATCTGCAATTCACATAATTATTCATCATCAGAAAAATCTCCTTCTTTCGAATTAATTCTTTGTATAATTCACATATTCAT